CTTTTTTCTTTTTATCTTTTTATTTTTCTTTTTTTTTTTCTATTTTTTTTATTTCTTCTTTTTTTTATTATCTATTATCTTTTAATTTCTTTTTTTTTCTTCTTCTGTTTTTCTTCTTCTTTTTTTTATCTTTCTATCTATTATTATCTCTTTTCTTTATCTATTTATCTATTATTTATCTATTTCTATCTATCTATCTATCTTTTTATTTTCTTGTTTCTTTTATCTATTTCTTCTATCTTTCTATCTATCTTTCTATCTATCTTCTATCTATCTTTTTATGGTTTCTATCTACCAATATCTCTCTCTCTCTCTTATCTATCTATCTATCTATCTATCTATCTATCTATCTATCTATCTTATCTATCTTTATCTATCTATCCTATAGTTCTATCTATCTGTCCGTCCGTCTTTGTCTGTCCGTGTCTGTCTGTCTGTCTATCTGTCCGTCTGTCTGTCTATCTATCTATCTATCTATCTATCTATCTATCTATGTCTATCTTTTGTCTATCTATGTAATGGTTCTATCTATCTATCTATCTATCTATCTATCTATCTATCTATCTAATCTTCTATCTATCTATCTATCTATCTATCTATCTATCTATCTATCTAATAATGGTTATCTATCTATCTATCTATCTATCTATCTATCTATCTATCTATCTATCTATCTATCTATCTATCTATCTATCTATCTAAATGGTTCTTCTATCTATCTATTTATCTATCTATCTATCTATCTATCTATCTATACTACCTATCTATCTATCTATCTTATCTATCTATCTATCTATCTATCTATCTATCTATCTATCTATCTATCTATCTATCTATCTATATCTATCTATCTATCTATCTTTCTATCTTTCCTATGGTTCTATCTACCAATCTGTCTGTCTGTCTGTCTGTCTATCTTACAGTAACCGCTCTCTGCTCACAATGGTTGTGAGAACTCAGCGATCACAGTTAGAGCTGATGGGGGACAGATGCAGCATCGGATTGATGTTGCATCCACCTAGGTAAGTATAAATGGGGGAAAAAAGGTTCTATTTCTCTCTTAACCTGCTGTGTCTCCTGAAAACGCAGGGAAAACGTCCTTGCTCCACCTTTGAAATTGCAGCCTGCATGGAAATCGCAAGTGCTGTGCAGTTCCCAGTGCAGGAATAGACTGCTGCTATTTCCAGTGCATGCGGGTGTCATTACGATTAATGTTCGAGTGGTTGCGGCTACTGGAGCAGGTACTGTCCCGCAACGGCAATCACCTTCACAGATGTGAACCTAGCCTTAATGCAATCAGTGAAATTGGCAAAATAAGGATGAAGTGGAAGAAAGAGTGTGTGTGTATATATACACTGTACATGCCTCCTATCTTTCTATCTCTATACCTGTCTTTCTCTTTCCTTTTACCCTGAAAATATCTTCAGGTTTCAGGGAACCCCTGCTAAAAATATTTTATTTACAGAACACAGTTAATTTTAATAAGCTGATTATAAACATTTTTTTTTATAACAAACTTTTCACACTTACCTGCTCTGTGCAATGGGTATGCACAGATCAGCCCCAATCCTTCTCTTCCAGGGTCCCCTGGCAGAGAATGCATTAGGATAAAAACCTTCTATTTACAACCACTTTAATGTGATCAGTAAGTTTTACACATAATAAACAGAACAACAAAGAATTTGGCCTACCTAGAGTATTTGACACCCAAGACAATTCATTTTTAATCCTCATATATTGGTGATTTGAGAAAAAATATCCCTTTATATTGGTGGTCAGTGAGAGTGGAACAGGCTTCCTTACATCGGTGGACGTATGAGAAACAATGGCACCCACAAACAGAAGATAAAACCTCCACAGCTCAGGGAACCCCCGATAAATTCAGTCTGGAGGAAACCTAGAGTTTCCCAGAACCTTGGCTGCTTTCTATTATGTGAAATACATTACGAGTAACCACAAACACTGAGAGAAATAATGCAAAAACAGTTATTACAGGTGGACACTGAGTCAATCTCATGGCTTCATATGGTTCTGGGGGACTCCTGTCACTCCGCCTGCTGCAAGTTCCATAAAGTGAAAAAATTTAAAGATTGGTGAATAGGGCCATCTATGGGAGAAACATCCAAGAAGGGCATCAAATGAGATTAGTAAATCTTCGCTCATTACATTGTAGCTCTGTTCTCTTTGTTCCTAATCATGTAGATTAAATAAATAAAGGAGAATTTACTTTTCAAGTAGTTGGAATAAAATAGAGGAATGTAAAAGTTGTTTGCTGTCACGGATGGTATGTCCTATATAGTTCAGGGTGTAATGAGGGAATTAAAAAAGGTGGCCAAATTGGGGAATCCACATTTTTAGAGCATGGGATCACATATGTTGTCAGGCCTGCCAAATCTGACATCACAGGAAAGCCAACAGTGGCTGGAAATAGGACTTTATTCACAAGTGATGAAGGGACCCAGGTAATTCAGTCTACATGTCTCCAGATATGTAATTTATACTTCATATGGCATGCATATTATAGTGCCAAGGTCCATTTCCAGGTGAAATAAGGTATACGTTCTGCACTACACTTTTTTATTTGTAATTACCTACCTGTTAAATCAGGAGAGATGAACCAGGGCACAAGAAGATTCAGTTGATGAGTGGACCCGGGGCGACTGGTCAGCCTGGTACTTGGTTCGATTTAGAATGGAGCTTTGTCTCCGACTGGCAGCAAACACTGATCTGTCTGGAAAGAATTCGAAAAGGACCCTGAACTCCCTCTGCAGGTGCTGGTTTGACAAATAGCCAGATATTGATTTTCTTAGTGGTGAATGTAGCACTGTTCTCTGGGTCAGTGTTCCCTCTTCTTATTGATTAACCTGCGCTGATGTCATATTTTATTATTAAGGATGAGAGGAACTACAAAAGGAAAACATGGCCAAATATGCAAAGATGTTACTCCGAAGCACGTTGCACGGCACAGATGTATGTAACAAAAAGGTTTTTCCCAATAGAAAACAAAAAAGGGAAACTTTTGTATCACCCTTTCCAATCTCCTAAAGGGAGGAGCGAACCCCTTATTGTTTGGATTAGAGATGGGAGTAAGACACCTCTAGTCTAACAAAGCTTTACTTTACTTTGTTTTAGTTTTTAGGAGTGCTTTTTGGTTCACTTGAGCTGTAGTACAGGGAATGGCTATTGCTCTTGCCATAATGTGCATACATTGTCTTGAAAAAGTTTTCATACCCCTTGAAATTTTCCACATTTTGTCATGTTACAACTAAAAACGTAAATTTATTTTATTGGGATTTTATGTGACAGACCAACACAAAGTGGCACACTTTTCAGATATTTATTTGTAAAAAATTTTGAAAACCATTTATCATTTTCCTTCCACTTCACAATTATGTGCCACTTTGTGTTGGTCTATCACATAAAATCCTATTTACGTTTTTGGTTGTAACATGACAAAATGTGGAAAATTTCAAGGAGTATGAATACTTTTTCAAGGCACTGTACATGGATATTATGGCAGACTTGTCTCTTAGCTTGCCCACCTCTAGTGCTGACAGTTCCATACTCCCTATCCCTCCCGTCTTCTCCAACGTTACCTTCTCCATCAAACATCTTCCTTCTTCAGCCTTTAGGCGGGTAATAATTAAGCAACCCCTGTGCTGGAAATACATCCTCCCTGCACATGGCTTCATTCTCATCATCTTGTAGATGCCAAGAGCTTCCTTCCGCATCCAGCATCTTCCTTTTTCAGGCATTGGGCAGCCATTGATGATGTCATTGTAACTCCTCCTTGTTCCTGGCTTCATTCTAGGCATCTTACAGATGCCAAAAGTGAGCAAAAATCTACTTACACAGAAAAATAAGTGAAAGGAGAAATAGTTTTTTGACAGAAACATAAAGTCTTTTCTACCAAAAAAAAAAAATGTTTCTTTTAGCAATTACTTTTTTGTCTTTAGTTTATTCATTTATTATTTTTTTTAAGAATGTTTATTAATAGTAGACAATAAGTACAACACCTTACACACCCTTCTTACAAAACATTGCTTCGAAAAACAGGTAACATAGGGCCAAGTTTCATGTGGTTAATATACTGTATATATATATATATATATATATATATATATATATATATATACTAAATATACTGTACATTGCGGAAACACACTCACACAAAGATTTTTAGAAAAAGGATACAGAGGGAGAGAACTACAGAAAATCAGAAAAACAAGTGAGGGATATGGAAAGAGAACAATTGCTCGAAGAAAAAAAAGAAAAGGTCGCCAAGGACATGCTTCAGAAAAATAACAATTTACTACGTGTTTCAACCGACAATATAAACATTTTGAGAAAATTATCAAAAAATATTGGCCTATTCTGAAAAAGGACACAGTTTTAGCAAGAACATTACCCAACAGACATAAATTCATTTATAAAAGGGCCAGAAAACCTTAGGAATCATTTTGGTACATAATGCAGTGGATCCACCAAAAAACACCCCACCCTTTCAAGAATTCAAAGGTTTTCATAGATGTCAAAAGTGTTTACCACGTTGGACAAGTAAACAACAAGAACAAGGAAACAATCACACTTTGAGTCTTCAGTAACAAAGAAGTAATATAAAATTAACAAATTCATCACATATGTTATTGAATGTCCTTGTTGACTTCAATACATAGGGAGGACAACCAGACAACTTTCCAATAGAAGAGAACATGTAAATAACATTAAAATGGGTTTTAAAAGGCACAGTCTTTCGAGACACTTTAGAGAAGTACATCATAAGGACCCAAGTAAATTACCGTATTTATCGCTCCATAAGATGCACTTATATCTGTGCATCTTATGGAGCGAATATGGAGCAGCCAGCCCGGTATTTTCCCTGTCGCCGCCGTCGTGTTAGAATACTGGGCCGGCCACTCGGCTCTGCTGTGCAGCAGAACTTGCTCCACAGTCCTACCTGTTCCTCAGTCCTACCCGTTCCTTAGTCCAGAGGTGTGTTCTCACCGGACTTCTCCCTCCCTGCCCCGGCATCTTTAGTGTGGGCATCCGACTGTGACAGCTTGCGGCTTCACAGCCGGGTGCCCACTGCGCATGCGTGAGAAGCGCTGTGCTTTGTGAATGGCCCTGTAGTCTTCTGGGACCTGTCATGTGTCCCAGAAGATTACGGGGAGGGAGGACAACTCCACTCCCCAAAGGTCTGCAGTCTCTGGTCATCTCCTGTACTATTTCTGCAGTCTTTGGTCATCTCCTGTACTATGTCCCACAGTCTCTGGTCATCTCCTGTACTCTGTCCGCAGCAAGTTTCTGGTCATCTTCTGTACTATGTCTTCAGTCTCTGGTCATCTCCTGTAGTAGTATGTCCGCAGTCTCTAGTCACCTCCTGTACTATGTCCACAGTCTCTGGTCTTCTCCTGTACTGTGTCCGCAGTCTCTGGTCATCTCCTGTACAAAGTCCACAGTATCTGGTCATCTCCTGTAGTATATTCCGCAGTTTCTGGTCATCTTCTGTACTATGTCCGCAGTCTCTGGTCATCTCCTGTACTCTGTCCGCGGTCTCTGGTCATCTCCTGTACTATGTCCGCAGTCTCTGGACATCTCCTGTAGTATATCCGCAGTCTCTGGTCATCTCCTGTACTATGTCCACAGTCTCTGGTCATCCCCTGTAGTATATCTGCAGTCTCTGGTCATCTACTGTACTATGTCCACAGTCTCTGGTCATCTCCTGTAGTATTTCTGCAGTCTCTGGTCATTTCTTGTACTATGTCCGCAGTCTCTGGTCATCTCCTGTAGTATGTCCACAGTCTCTGGTCATCTCCTGTACTATGTCCACAGTCTCTGGTCATCTCCTGTAGTATATCTGCAGTCTCTGGTCATCTACTGTACTATGTCCACAGTCTCTGGTCATCTCCTGTAGTATATCTGCAGTCTCTGGTCATCTACTGTACTATGTCCACAGTCTCTGGTCATCTCCTGTAGTATGTCCACAGTCTCTGTTCATCTCCTGTACTATTTCTGCAGTCTCTGGTCATCTCCTGTACTATGTCCACAGTCCCTGGTCTTCTCCTGTACTGTGTCCGCAGTCTCTGGTCATATCCTGTAGTATGTCCGCAGTCTCTGGTCATCTCCTGTACTATGTCAGCAGTCTCTGGCCATCTCCTGTACTATGTCCGCAGTCTCTGGTCATCTCCTGTACTATTTCTGCAGTCTCTGGTCATCTCCTGTACTATGTCCGCATCTCTGGTCATCTCCTGTACTATTTCTGCAGTCTCTGGTCATCTCCTGTACTATGTCCGCAGTCTCTGGTCATTTCCTGTACTATGTCTGCAGTCTCTGGTCATTTCCTGTTACCAATGTTTGAAGTCCATTGGTTCAGAATATTTTCTTGTTTTTTCTTCCTCTAAACCCTACGTGCATCTTATGGTCAGGTGCGTCTTATGGAGCAAAAAATAGGTTATTTTTTTATTACGGGATTGATAAGGTCACAACACACTGGAGAGGTAGTAATATGAAAATTTGATCTCTCAGAACGAAACCAAACGGATACATGAAATGGGGACTCTAGCACTGGGAGGCTTTAATATAGATATTTATTTTATTTATTTATTTCAGGTACTTATATAGCACTGTCAATTTACATATATATTGTACATTCACATCAGTCCCTAACCCTCAAGGGGTGTACAATCTAAGGTCTCTAACTTACATTCATACACATACACATACTAGGGACAATTTAGACAGGAGCCAATTCACCTACCAGCATGTCTTTGGAGTGTGGGAGGAAACCGGAGTACCCAGAGGAAACCCATGCAGGCACAGGGAGAACATGTAAACTCCAGGCAGGTGGTGCCATGGCTGGGATTCGAACCAACAACACTAGTACTGCCAGGCGGAAGTGCTAACCATTTAGCCACTGTGTTGCCCCACTGTGCCCTCACTGTGCTGAGATATAGACCTCAATTGTTTTATTTCTAATTATGAAATAGATTGTATTTCAAGGTTTTGTCTGTATATCTGGTCAAATAAGTGTATATTGATGCATTATGACATAGGGTTATGCTATATAATCACCATCTATTCGGTACATAGGATAGAAATTGAGGAGGGTATATGTCCCACCTCATTGTGTTTAAGTAACATCAATTCCTTTTTGAGGAGCTTTGGAATATATAAGATAGATTTGGTACTAGTTCACACCACAGGGCTTTAGTACTATGGCCCCCTACTCAAAGGACCAAAGGGTCCAGAATTAATTATTAATTTAAACCAATCCCTTTTGACATCTATACATACTGTATTTCCCCCATAAAGGTATATTGTAGATGTGGGAAATAGGAGGTTAATCATGCCAATATTATACTGCAAAAAGCATGGATCGGGATTCCAGTAATATGGCTCCCTATCCGAATATAGGATCATATTTTAGGCCAATTTTTTGAACATTTGCTTTCTTCCCATATGATTTAATAGATTATGGATAACAGGGGGACACTGTATTTACATCATACAACAGTGTTGCTAGATACACGGATCAGGACCTCATCACAGCGGCCACTAGTGCATGGTAAAGGTTGCTAGGTACCAGTATAGGATCAATTCCTCAAACACCTCCCTCCCATATATTGAGGCCATACTGCTTTCACAATACAGTGAAGGAAATAAGTTTTTGCTCCCCTGCTGATTTTGAATGTTTGCCCACTCACAAAGAAATGATCAATCTAAAAATCGAATGGTACGTGTATTGTAACACTGAGAGACAGAATAGCAACAAAAAAGTCAAAAGAATGCATGTCTAACAAATGATGACTGATTTTCATGTTCATGAGGGAAATAAGTATTTGATCCCCTTCACAAAACATGACTTAGTACTTGGTGGCAAATCCCTTGTTGGCAATCACAGAGGTCAGACGTTTCCTGTAGTTGGCCACCAGGTTTGCACACATCTCAGGAGGGATTTTGGCCCACTCCTCTTGGCAGATCCTCTCCAAGCCATTAAGGTTTGGTGGCTGATGTTTGGCAACTGGAACTTTCAGTTCCCTCCACAGATTTTCAATTGGATTAAGGTCTAGAGACTGGCTAGGCCACTTCAGGACCTTAATGTGCTTCTTCTTGAGCCAAACCTTTGTTGCCTTGGCCGTGTGTTTTGGGTCATTGTCATGCTGGAACACCCATCCACGACCCATTTTCAATGCCCTGGCTGAGGGAAGAAGGTTCTCACCCAAGATTTGATGGTACATTGCCCCGTCCATCGTCCCTTTGATGCGGTGCAGTTGCCCTGTACCCTTAGCAGAAAAACACCCCCCAAAGCAGAATGTTTTCATCACCATGTTTGACAGTTGGGATGGTGTTCTTGGGATCATAGGCAGCATTCCTCTTCCTCCAAACACGGCAAGTTGAGTTGATGCCAAAGAGCTCAATTTTGGTCTCATCTGACCACAACACTTTCAACCAGTCCTCCTCTGTATCATTCGGATTTTTAGTGGCAAACTTCAGACGGGCCTGGACATGTGCTTTCTTGAGCAGAGGGACCTTGCGGGCACTGCAGGATTTCAATCCTTGTCAGCATAGTGTGTTACCAATTGTTTTCTTGGTGTCTGTGGTCCCAGCTGCCTGAAGATCATTGACAAGATCCTCACGTGTAGTTCTGGGATGATTCCTCACTGTTCTCATGATCATTGGCACTCCACGAGGTGAGATCTTGCATTGTGCACCAGACCTAGGGAGACTGACAGTTGTTTTGTGTTTCTTCCATTTGCGAATGATTGCACCAACTGTTGTCACCTTCTTACCAAGCTGCTTGGTGATAGTTTGGTAGCCCAGTTCAGCCTTGTGTAGGTCTACAATCTTGTCACTGACATCCTTGGACAGCTCTTTGGTCTTTGCCATGGTGGAGAGTTTGGAATCTGATTGTTTGATTGCTCCTGTGGACAGGTGTCTTTTATACAGGTAAAAAAATGAGATTAGCAGCACTCCCTTTAAGAGACTGCTTCTAATCTCACCTTGTTACCTGTATGAAAGACACCTGGTAGCCAGAAATCCTGCTGAATGATAGGGGATCAAATACTTATTTCCCTCATGAACATGAAAATCAGTGCATCATTTGTTAGACATGCATTTCTTTTGAATTTTTTGTTGCTATTCTGTCTCTCAGTGTTACAATACACCTACCATTCGATTTTTAGACTGATCATTTCTTTGTGAGTGGGGCAAACATTCAAAATCAGCAGGGGATCAAATACTTATTTTCTTCACTGTATATGGAATTTAAGGTGTACGGATTAGGACTCCAGTAACATGGCCTCCTGATCCGAGCAGTGAGCATAGGAGCTTATGAGGTAACATCCGGTTCTGACCACTACATCATGGCATCTGCCAGGGAATGCTAAGTGTTGCTAGGTTACCAGATTGTATATATAGAAAGAATCAAGTGGGGCAATATGGCTCCGCTCCTGATGGCGTCAATATGACGAAACGCATTGGGCGGGGCTAATTGTGTCACTTCCGGTTCATACGAGGCTGAATGTGGAGCGCAATGGCATTCCAGAATACATAATTTTAAAGTGCCACATACATGGAAATGATGTAAGTGCACTTTTATGTGATTTTACTCAAACAGTATAAAGCTATGGGAGTTTCCCTTTGATTATTCCTACTGCATATCTCTGTGGTGGAGGAGGACAAGTGGTCATCTGGTATATTGATAGGTCTCCTTCCGTCAGGGAGATCCTAATAGAGTGGATAATCACGTTAGCAGCTCACAGGAGGCTAATCCATTGCAGGGGCTTGAGGAAGGAAAGCATCTAAAAGCACTTTTGACCTACCCTGCACAGGGGTCAATGTACTGCGGTGAGTGAGGTTCTGGAGGGGGAGCATGAGTGATAGCACAAATTACAAACTACCTGCTACGGATGTGGAAGGTGTTTTGTAGTACCGGGACTTTATAAAGACGAACTGACACATATATTGCATTGCTATATATTGACCTTTTTAAGGACATTTTCTAGCACAAAATTTCAGTGTGTTGCATAGGGGGAAGATGTATTGTAGTCCCTTCAATATGTACATGTTTGTTTAACTGATGTTTTCATCATGTGATTTATGTTTTTCATCACAAAGTATTTTATTTATCACAGAGTGTTGTATGGGTATCCTCACTGAGGAGAGAGGTGCTCTGTAGTACGATACATCACGGAGTGTTGTATGGGTATCCTCACTGAGGAGAGAGGTGCACTGTAGTACGATACATCATGGAGTGTTGTATGGGTATCCTCATTGAGTAGACGAGAGGTAGCACTGTAGTATGATACATCACGAAGTGTTGTACAGTTATCCTCAGTGAGGAGAGAGGTGCACTGTAGTATGATATATCACAGAGTGTTGTATGGGTATCCCCATTGAGCAGAGAGGTGCACTGTAGTACGATACATCACGAAGTGTTGTACGGTTATCCTCAGTGAG